AAAAAAAAAAAAAAAAAAAAAGCAACTGTTACGCTTCTAATGTATTTCTTTCTTTTTGTATATTTATACGTTTATGAACATTTTAACAAAAATTTTATATTTTTTTCTTAATATTTCTCCCTTATGTGTTTAACTATGGAAATTTCCAAATACAAAGAGAATAAACTAGTCAATTACCATGTTATATCATAATCATTAATCTCATTGTTGTTATTTTTCCTGTGACTGCTTCCTGAAATTATAAACCCTTTTATTTTCATGTCATTTGAAGCCTATAGAAAAGTTGCAAAAATAGCCTAAGAAATTCTTATTTACTCTTTACCCACATTTGCCAAGTGTTTATATTTTTCCTCTTTGCTTTGTTGATGACCAACAGCCAAATATCACCAGAAACATACCTGTAACCAGAGACAGCTGATTATACCTTTCTGCAGCAAGGAAGCTCACATACCAGAGGCTGTCTTCGTAAGAGTTTAGGAAGGGCTAGCATATGGTTTCACATAACGTATTAGGTAATATTAGATTATATACCAGATAAAGGTATTTATTAAATATTAGATATCTATTAGAGGACTGCTAATAGTTAATTGTATTATCTATTAGATAGTACAAGATAACATATTACCTAACATCATGTTATGTACTCTGCAGTTCTACATTTAAATTTGTTCTGGTTTTCACTTAAGGCTCTTACAAGTGTCCACTCCCCACCCACCACCACCACCTCTGTCCACAATCTAATTTTATGCATTGCCTTTAATTGTGCCATTTCCATAACCTTCTTTAATCTGGAGGATTCTACACCCTTTGTCTTTCTATGCTTGATATTTTTGAAGAGTATCGGCAAGTTATTTTGGAGAAAGGCATTCATTTGGGGTTGTGTCTGATGTAATTCATGTGCAGGTTCAGATTATGCTTTGCTGGTAGGGATACCACAGAAGTGGTGAGATGTCCTTTTCGTTGCAATATAACAGGGTCCAAGTGATGTCAGTTTGTCTCTTTATTGGTGATCTCAACCTTTTCCACTTGGCCAAGATGCTGTCTTTCAGATTTCTCCACTATAAAGTTAGAATTTTTTTTTTTTTTAATAATAATGTTTCTTAGGAATAGATAACATTACTAGTGGGCATTCAGCTGCAAAATGACCTTTTTCTCCATTTATTCTTGGATTTGTTCAACTGCAAATATTCTGTCAATATGGACTCAGAATTGATTCTTGTTAAGTTCAATGACGTATATGTTAACAATTATTTTTTCCCACCTATTGTATCATAGAACTTAATTTATTTCAGATGTACATCCAGTGATCATTAGAAAGTTTGCTGAAGGGAGTAACCATCACCACAATTCAGTGATCATTTCATTCCTATATGGGTCTCCTCATGCCTACTTATGATTAAACTTTATTCTCACTCAGCTCTGAAGCAATTACTAATCAGTTTTCTCTCTATGTGCATTCTCCTACCTGGACTTTTTACAGAAATGGAATCCTGCAATATGTGGTCCTTTGTAACTGGCTTCTTTCATTTAGCATAATGTTTCAAATGTTCATATATGTTGTAGCATGAGTCAGTGCTTCATTTTCTTTAAATTTCCAAATAAGATTCCATTGTTTGGATAGACCATGATTTGTCTATCCATTTACCCATAGGAAGGCATTTTGGTTGTGCTGTTTTGGGCTTTTATGATTAATGCCGCTGTGAACATTCATGTGCCAATTCACAACACACATCCCTGTTGGTGGGTGTCATCCCTGGCCACCTTTTCATGTCTCTTTTTCTGCCTTTTCTGGCACTTTGCAGGTACAATTCTGCTTTCCCAGGAATCGCATCCCTCAGTACGCCGCAAGTTCCCAGAAGTAAGAGGGAAGATGACCATGTTCAAGGTGAGTAGGATTTGCTTCTCTTACTCTTAAAATTCCATCTCAGTACTCAGACCGTCACAAGTTTTTCTCTGTCTTGGGAAGATTCGAGGAGAAAAACAGGCATTTGAGGATCTCTTGTGTACCAGGTGCTTCCTTTGTTACTTTTGAGTGGATTTTACATTTGTTTTTAGTTCTTGTTTTCTTGTATCATTTAGTCTATGGAGTAGACGAGATTGTTGGAATGGATAATTCTTTTATTTTACTACTTCTCTGCTCACACATTAGCTATTTTTATCCTCTAATACAATACTCTTCCTCATGTACATTCGTAACTGTATTTGTATTGGTGATATTAATCTAATTTAAGTTGCACTCTTTCTATTTAATATTATATAATGTTCATTTTTAATGGTTGCATCATATTCCCGTTTAAATCGGTGCTCCTTTTTAATTAGTTTATATTCCCAGACACTGGGAACTCAATTTTGAAAGGGTACTTTAAATGTGTGCCACATTGGCCCTTTTGTAGATAGAGTACCCATATGTGGCACATTACGGCAAGCTGTAACTGTGGCTTCACACAAGGATTGCTGGAAGTTTCCACACAGGAAGAGCCAGATTTTCTTTCCCCCAAGTCTGGGTTGTGCCTTCTGCGTCTTTTATTTAGTGGTCTGTCTTTATTCCTTTATATGTTAAGAAATTTGACCGAAGTAATATTTAACGTAAATATTTTGTGCATGATACTAGATTTGCCAGTCTTTGTGTTTTGTTTCATCATTTACTCCTCAGAACAGCTGAATGAGGCAGTTCTTATCTTCCTCTTAAACGCACAAAATATGAGAAACCTGCTCATGTTTAGACAGGAGACTAAGAGTCAAGAATATTAGCCATTTTACTCAGCTGAAAGAGACAGAAAAAGAGAGAATTCTCCATTGAGGGGCCTGTGCCCTGTGGTGTGGGTGTCTGGAGTATCCTGCTGAGTGATGACATCTACAGGTGGCACTGCTCCTCCCTGGCCCTACCTTGGGAGGGGGATGCCTTTTCTTCTTGTCATAGTACCTCTTCCTTGGCTCCCAGCACTTCAGGTACCCAAAAACAGCAGTTACCATAGTCATGACAGAAAATTTTAAAATTAATTAAGGGAAAAGATGCCTTAACAGTGTTACCAGAAAACGTAATAGTCTAAGGTGAAAATATTTACCCTTTGGTTATCTAAAAAAAGATTCAATCCAAAATAAGAATCTTATGCACAGAATAGAGAAGAAAATCCAAAGAAATATGAATAAAGGAGATTACCAGGAGGAGAAAAACAGATGGCAATAAATATTTGAAAAGATGTTGATATTCATTTATAATCAAATAAGTGAAAATAATAAAACAAAGTCGTGGCCAGGCCTGTGACTCACACCTGTAATCTCGGCACTTTAGGAAGCTTAGGAAGGAGGATTGTTTGAAAGCAGGAGCTCAAGACCATCCTGGTAAACATAGGAAGATGCTATCTCTACAAAAAAAGAAAGACCAAAAAACCAAAAACAATTTCTTTCTGATCAGAGTACCAGAATAATGGGAAAATTGATAACCTGCTTTTGGCAATATTAAGAAAATCAGAATAATGTATCCCCTTGAAAAATTTTGGAGTTAAAAAAAATTGAGAAAGTGTGACACATAATCACAATTTAAACATTCTTATTTTTTGACATTTTATTATTTAAAACTTATTTAAATAGGAGAGTAAGATCTATCTGAAATGATGTTCTTTATTGGATTAGTAATCATGGAAAATATAGAAAATTAAATGTTTATTATTTAGAATAACAACAGATCAATTCCATGGAACACTGCAGATGTGAGATAAAGTCAATAGCAATAATTGACAAAAATGAAAACCGCTAATGTTAAGTATTTAGTCTATGCTTCACATGTTTCCCCAATACCATATGTATATTCCACTATTTAATTCTTTAAAAACTGTATCCTGAGACAATCATTATTGTCTCAGAGGAAAGTAATGCATTCAGGCCAACTTGTCCAAGGTCACATGACTGGGAAGGGACAGAGTCTTATATATGCACTCCGAGGCACGCTGGCTGCAAGTCATGACATTCAACATTGCAATTAATGTATGTCGTTTTTGCCTTGAGAGCACAGAGACTCACTGCATAACTACTCACATATGTCACCATAAGACTGTCAGTGTGGCAAATGTTTTTTTTTTTTTCTCTTTTTTATTCTTACACAGAAAAAAAGCAGATGTTAAAGCAAAACAATAACATCCAGGGTTGGAGTTTGAGAGAGGGAGACAATGGGCATTATCAAACAAATTAGGACTGAATTGCTAAATGTTGCTGAGGTGACTGTCAAGATTTATCAAAACATAGGTGTGTGTAGCCCAGGGTGCCGCATTTAGAGTCCTGGAGGGTTACTTACAAGGAGACTCAATTATTGCATGAAGTAAAAATACAGGTCTTTTTCATCATTTCATTTTTGGTGGAACTCGGGAAAATCAGTCATTGTCAGGATACAGACAGAATGAGTAGGAAATCTATGAGTTGACCTGTGTCTCTCAAGATCCAAAACAACTTCCCACCCCTCCCCTCTCTCTACTCAGTGCCACCCCTCCCTCTTCCAGGAATCGTTGTTCATGAGATTGAGGTTGCATATGTTTGATGCTGTAGGAGGCAGTGACCTTCAAGGACGTGGCTGTGGTCTTCACTGAGGAGGAGCTGGGGCTGCTGGACCCTGCCCAGAGGAAGCTGTACCGAGATGTGATGCTGGAGAACTTCAGGAACCTGCTGTCAGTGGGTGAGCACAGGCACCCTCTATAATGGAACATCAGGCCTTAGGAGTGGCTTTGTATGCCAGGGTACAAAGTTTCAAGTATTGCTGGGCGTGGTGGCTCACGCCTGTAATCCAAGCACTTTGGAGGCCAAGGCGGGCGGATCACCTGAGGTTGAGAGTTCAAGACCAGCCTGACCAACATGGTGAAACCCCATCTTAAAAAAAAAAGAAGTAGTTTCAAGTGTTAATTAGTAACTTGAACCTAAGGTTCAAGTTTGAGTGTGCAGTGAGAACCTAAATTTCTAGTAAATTTTACCTTGATATTACCTAGAATGTGTTGGAATTAAGCACATGACTTTGCATGTTTGCAGGACAGCAAGCATTCGACAGGGATACTTTCCAGTTCCTAAGGGAAGAAAAGGTTTGGATGATGAAGACAGCAACCCAAAGAGAAGGGAATTCAGGTAAGAATCAAGCAAGTGTGAATCCCTGTAGGTCTCTTCCATCTGTTTTACTTCTGTCCATGCTCAAATCCATTGCCCTGGCCTAAATGGCCAAACCTCTTTCTTGGATTATTGACAACCATCTTACACTTGGTGGCCCCGCTGCCTGCCTTCCCACCCTGACATCTCTTCTCATAGCAGCCAAAGTGATCCTTAGGAAATGTAAGTCAGATTGCTATTCCTCAGCTCAAAAGCCTTTTGGGCTTATTTTCATTAAAGTTATAACTACAACCTCTTTTTCTTTTCTTTTTTTTTGAGATGGAGTCTCCCTCTGTTGCCCAGGCTGGAGTGCAGTGGTGCAATCTCGGCTCACTGCAACCTCCGCCTCCTGGGTTCAAGCAATTCTCTTGCCTCAGCCTCTCGAGCAGCTGGGACTACAGGCACAAACCACCATACCCAGCTAGTGTTTTTGTATTTTTAGTACAGACGGGGTTTTACCATATTGGCCAGGCTGGTCTCGAACTGCTGACCTTGTGATCCACCTGACTTAGCCTCCCAAAGTGCTGGGATTACAGGCGTGAGCTACCTTGCTCTCCCTGTAACCTCTTTAATTGACTTTTGGAGACCCTGTGGTCTGCTTTTCATCCCCTCCCCCTACCTCTCTGACTACAGCTCCTCCTCTCCCTCTTGCTCTGTCTTTACCAGCCATATTATTCTCCCTGCTGTTTCTCTGTCTTGCCAAGGAAGTTGTGTTGCCTTTTGCTGGTACCCAGTGACCACAAACTTAGCAGATTGAGCAACAAACATTATTTTTGTGTTCTTTAGGGATGAAGTCTGATACATCTCACTGGGCAATTATCGAGTTGTCTGTAGGTCTGTAGGGCTTCGTTTTTTCTGGATGCTCCTGGGGAGAAGCCTTTACTTTGGTTTATCAGTGTCTAGGCACTGTCCTCACTCCTTGGCTCTTGCTTCCCTTCCTTCATCTTCAAAGGAGGCAAGTTGCATCTCCATAGGTATGCTCCCTCTGCCACTCTTATGCCTTTTGGGTCCTCTTTCATCTTTTGGGTCCCTTGTAATTCTTTTTTTTTTGAGACGGAGTTTCGCTCTTGTTACCCAGGCTGGAGTGCAATGGCGCGATCTCGGCTCACTGCAACCTCCGCCTCCTGGGTTCAGGCAATTCTCTTGCCTCAGCCTCCTGAGTAGCTGGGATTACAGGCACGTGCCACCATGCCCAGCTGATTTTTTGTATTTTTAGTAGAGATGGGGTTTCACCATGTTGACCAGGATGGTCTTGATCTCTTGACCTCGTGATCCACCCGCCTCGGCCTCCCAAAGTGCTGGGATTACAGGCATGAGCCACCGCGCCCGGCCACTGAATGCTTTTATACTAAAAGTTATGGATGTTAACAGGGTAGAGATGCACATTATATTTTACTAAGAGAAAAATAAGAAACAGTTCTGGGACGTACCAAATGAGGATCTTGTATTGTATGCTCCTGATAGAGTAGGATGTGTTACATTCCTAGAATTAAGGTGTGATGTAGAGAATACAGCCAACCAGGGAAGCTCACCTGAGCCCTGGTTTTGCAAATGATTTTTGAGGCTCTATTACATAGCCATTATTTGTTGATTGATTCCCATGTGGCTAACCAGTCTCCTCGGCCACTGATTCCATGTAACCTAAAGCCCCACCTTAAATCACATTGCTCTTTGTGATATGGGGGCACCAACCCCCAAAGGGGTGCCCAGCCACAACCCTAAATTATATTGTTTCACTATCCAGAGACCTAGTTTTACCCCCAAGCAAACAAAGACACTCTCCTCAGGCATGACACTTCAAACTCCTAGAGATTACTGCTCAGATCCTGAGGACAACATCCAGACCTCATTTTGAATGAGGTTAATTTCTTCACTTTGTAAGGATACACAATATAAACACAAATATACCAAGTATTTATGATGTTATTTTTCTTTAAAGTTGGTTTTGGTTTATATTTTATTAAATACATAATTCATTAGTTTCATAATTTGCCATGCAAGATTTTAGACTGATTAGGAAATTCACTAGGAAAAGTAGCAAGTATAATATTTGTATCATATTAATTTTATTATTAAGACTTTTTATTTTATTAAAAACATTTAATTTCAGTAGCTTTTGGGGTTTGGTGGTTTTTGGTTACATGTGTGAATTGTCTAATGGTGAATTCTGAGATTTTAGTGCACCCATCACCTGAGTAGTGTACATTGTACCCAGCGTGTAGCTTTTTATCCCTTTCCCCACCTTCTGCTCTCCTCCTTTTGAGTCTCCATAGTCCATTATATCACTCTGTATGCCTCTGCATACCCATAGCTTAGCTTTCACTTATAAGTGGAAACACAGTATTTGGTTTTCCATTCCGGAGTTACTTTTTAGAATAATGGCCTCCAGCTCCATCCAAGTTACTCCAAAAGACATTATTTCGTTCTTTTTTATGGCTGAATAGTATTCCATGGTGTATATATACCACATTTTCTTTAGCCACTCATTCGTTGATGGGCACTTAGGTTGGTTCCATATCTTTGAAATTGTAAAATGTGCTGTAATAAATATATGTGTGCAGGTGTCTTTTTGATGTAATGGCTTATTTTCCTTTGGGTAGAAAGTAATGGGATTGCTGGATCAAACTGTAGATCTACTTTTAGTTCTTTAGGGAATGTCCATACTCTTTTTTATAGAGGTGGTACTAATTTACATTCACACCAGCAATGTATAAGTGTTCCCTTTCATCACATCCATGCCAACATCTATTGTTTTTTTGTAAGTCTTTTATTCCTACCAAGTATTTTACATATGATACTTGGTTTGGTTCTAAATTGGCCTCATCCAAACCAGAGATTATGGTACACTTGAAAAATACAAACTGAATGTTGTCTATATTCATGAAAGTTTCATGCCATGGCCTAAGTGAAATCTTGATAACACTGAACAAAGGCGTCACTTGTCCTCATCTCTTAATTCTGTATTCTGATAGGAAGCAAGATCCAAACTGAGATAAAGACTGTTTCAGAAGCAGGAACACATCAAGAGTGGTCCTGCCAGCAAACCTGGGAAAAAATTGCAAGTGATTTAACCAGGTCTCAAGCCTCGGTAATAAATAGCTCTCAGTTCTCCAAACAAAGTGATTTACCCTGCCAGACTGAGGCAGGACTATCTGTAATTAACATAAGACAGAAGTCTTCCCAGGGCAATGAATATAAACAGTCCTTCAGTGATCTCTCCATCTTTGATTTTCATCAACAATCACACTCAGGAGAGAAGTCTCATACATGTGATGAGTGTGGAAAAAGCTTCTGTTACATCTCAGCCCTTCGTATTCATCAGAGAGTTCACATGGGAGAGAAATGCTATAAGTGTGATGTGTGTGGTAAGGAATTCAGTCAGAACTTACATCTGAAAACTCATCAGAGAGTCCACACTGGAGAAAAACCATTCAAATGTGTTGAATGTGGGAAAGGCTTTAGTCGTAGATCAGCACTTAATGTACATTGCAAATTGCACACAGGAGAGAAACCTTATAATTGTGAGGAATGTGGGAAGGCCTTCATTCATGATTCCCAGCTTCAAGAACATCAGAGAATCCATACTGGGGAGAAGCCATTTAAATGTGATATATGTGATAAGAGCTTCTGTGGTAGATCAAGACTTAATAGGCATTCCATGGTTCACACGGGAGAAAAACCTTTCCGATGTGATACGTGTGGTAAGAGCTTTCGTCAGAGATCAGCACTTAATAGTCATCACATGGTCCACACAGGAGAGAAGCCATACAAATGTGAGGAATGTGGAAAAGGCTTTATTTGTAGGCGAGATCTTTATACGCATCATATGGTCCACACGGGAGAGAAGCCATATAATTGTAAAGAATGTGGGAAGAGCTTCAGATGGGCCTCATGTCTTTTGAAACATCAGCGAGTCCACAGTGGAGAAAAACCTTTCAAATGTGAAGAATGTGGGAAAGGATTTTACACAAATTCACAACGTTATTCCCATCAGAGATCCCATAGTGGAGAAAAACCATACAAATGTGTGGAGTGTGGGAAGGGCTACAAAAGGAGGTTGGATCTTGACTTTCACCAGCGTGTCCATACAGGAGAGAAACTGTATAATTGTAAGGAATGTGGGAAGAGCTTTAGTCGGGCCCCTTGTCTTTTGAAACATGAGAGACTCCATAGTGGAGAAAAACCATTCCAATGTGAAGAGTGTGGGAAGAGGTTTACTCAAAATTCACATCTTCATTCCCATCAGCGAGTCCATACTGGAGAAAAGCCATACAAATGTGAGAGGTGTGGAAAGGGCTACAATAGTAAGTTTAATCTTGATATGCACCAGAAGGTCCACACAGGAGAGAGACCGTATAATTGTAAAGAATGTGGGAAGAGTTTTGGTTGGGCCTCATGTCTTTTGAAACATCAGAGACTGCACAGCGGAGAAAAACCATTCAAATGTGAAGAGTGTGGGAAAAGATTTACTCAGAATTCACAGCTTCATTCTCATCAAAGAGTGCACACCGGAGAAAAGCCATACAAATGTGATGAGTGTGGGAAGGGTTTCAGCTGGTCTTCAACCCGTCTGACCCACCAGAGACGCCACAGCAGAGAATCACCTCTCAAATGTGAGGAGTATGGGAAGAATACTGTACAGAATTCATTCTCTAAAGTCCAAGAAAAAGTTCACAGTGTAGAAAAGCCATACAAATGTGAGGACTGTGGGAAGGGCTACAACAGGTGCTCGAATCTTGACATGCATCAGAGGGTCCACATGGGAGAGAAAACATGGAAATGTGGGGAGTGCGATCTGTGCTTCAGTCAGGCCTCAAGTCTTCAACTTCATCAGATTGTTCATGTGGGAGAGAAAACTTAGTGATGTGATGGTGTGATAAAGTGTTCACTCAGTCTTCATGAATGCAGTCTCATCTGAAAGTTCACAAAGGGGAGAAACGTTAAAATGTGAGGCACATAATAAGCACTTTCCTTTGAGTGCTTTATCTCTGAATACACGCTGGTGATAAATTTCACCCATTCTTTGAAGAGCGAAAACATTTAAGATAACATCATTGCTTCAGCCATAGCTCAGCATACCCCAGTAGTCTCAGGACCACCATAGTGGAGAATCTTTGTAAATGGTGCAATAAAGCTTCATTCAGAAGTTTGATAGTTACAGCTGTCATTCAGGAGACAGGACTTAGAAAGAGTAAGAGTTCACGAATTTACCACTCTAATGGTGGACATCTCAAAATTGATGTCCACTAGAATGTAAGCTACCTGTGTCTTTGCTGCTAAATTGTCACAACTGGAACACTGATTATCACTTTGTATGTCTCCAGGGCTTGTTTGTTAAATCAATGAAAGGAGAAAACATATGTGTGGATTTGGATGCAATTCTATGTATCCAAACAAGGAAGTCTGGAAAACATAATTCTGGGAAACATGAGTTGAAATGCAGAGTAAATTTAGTACTGCAATCCATAGCATTATTTTGAATATTATTTTTTTCCTTTTAAATTTTTTTCTTGGGCCGGGCGCGGTGGCTCAAGCCTGTAATCGCAGCACTTTGGGAGGCTGAGGCGGGTGGATCACGAGGTCAAGAGATCGAGACCATCCTGGTCAACATGGTGAAACCTCGTCTCTACTAAAACTACAAAAAATTAGCTGGGCATGGTGGCATGTGCCTGTAATCCCAGCTACTCAGGAGGCTGAGGCAGGAGAATTGCCTGAACCCAGGAGGCGGAGGTTGCGGTGAGCCGAGATCGCGCCATTGCACTCCAGCCTGGGTAACAAGAGCGAAACTCCGTCTCAAAAAAAAAAAAAAAAAAATTTTCTTGATCAGAGTTATCATATTCATTGAATATCATTTTATTGCACTTGGCTCCTGGCTTCCCCACATCCTGTGTTCTGAAATTGGATTATTATTTGTGGCTCTATCAAATGTTCATTGCTTGTATACAGTATAAATTTATCCTTTGTAGCTTTTCTCTCAGTATAGACTGAAAAGGTTGGGTTAATTTTACAGTAAAAGACCACTGCATATTTTACAATTAAATGTTTTCAACAGTATTAAGACAAGATTTACGGTAACACTTTAAAAGTGTCAGATGGACATTGACAAATTTTCTTAGTCAATCCTAGATTGGTCATATTTGTGATCATGAGGCCTTGGTATGATTACCTTTTAATTGCTGTACAATTTTTTTTTTTAACTTCTCTGGTACAAAATATTCTACATTTGAAGGACAGCTTTTGTCAACCTTCTTATCCAATATTCTTCTATCAACCCTGTGAACAGGAAGAGAAACTTAATGGAGTTTGGTAGTTTCTTCAAATATATTCATTATTGGGGGCAGGAGTAACATTTAAATCTTCTTCTTTATTGCTGGCAGTAAAAATATGTCTTTTGGAGAGCAGAACATGTCAGTGTATAAGGTGCAACTGTTTGGTATGAAAACCATAGGATAGGAAATTATGACTATGATAAACTCCAAAAAGTAGAAGACCACATTGATGATGTCACTCCATTTTAAAATGAAAAGAACAAGTGTTCAAGAACAGGAATTTGTGTGAATTGCATTTATTTTTATAATAACATGAAATAAATGAGATGATCACATAGACATAAAAGGAGAAAAACAATGTTTTTTTAGCCTTCATAACTTAGTCAAATAAATATCTTTGTGTGTTTATGTTCTTTTGAGTGTTTGCATACATACTACGTGAATGAATATTTTTACTGATCTTTGCTGGCAATGAAAATTTGCACCATTTTATATTTCCATGAATTTTTAAATGTTTTGTTTTTAATAATTAGGGATACATAAAAATTGTGTCTCAGTGAAAATCAGCTTTACCGAAGCAGTAAATTGTGTGCAATAAAATTTGAAAAAATATTAATGTTAATCACTTACTTATAAAGAGTGAATAAGATTGCTCTACATTGTCATGTGACATAAGTTCAAAATTAAGGAATAAGACTGTGGAAGTCATATTTTAAAACAAATTATCTGGGTTTTTGAATACAGATACATTGATGAGTGTGGTAAACTGCCATGATTAATGCACATGTTACTTCTTTAGGCATAAGTCATAGAAACTGAAACACAGTAGGTATACATATGTTGTAGAGGTTAAAAAAAAAGACTCTGGGCCGGGCGCGGTGGCTCAAGCCTGTAATCCCAGCACTTTGGGAGGCCGAGGCGGGTGGATCACAAGGTCAAGAGATCGAGACCATCCTGGTCAACATGGTGAAACCCCGTCTCTACTAAAAATACAAAAAATTAGCTGGGCATGGTGGTGCGTGCCTGTAATCCCAGCTACTCAGGAGGC